GATCCTTGTAGGCGCGCTCCTCCGCGAAGTAGCCACCCGACGTCTGCCCAAAGTCAACGAAGTCGGGATAACGGGCAACGAGTCCAAGCCGCCCTCACCGCCCTCGTACCAGTCAAGCACGAGGCGCAACGCGGCGAGGTCCGGCACGACAATTAGGGACACACGGCGTGGCGACGCACCCCTCGGCGGCTGGTGGCGTAGCCTCGGCGGGAGGTTCGAATGCCTAGACTGGTCCGCGAGGTAGTGCCGTACCTGGTCCGCGGGCACGCTCGGCCGGCCCGGATCATCCTCGATCCACAGCTGAACGGTGCGACCGTCCCGCTGCAGCGCGACCTGCCGGGCATCCGTCAGGGCGAACCCCAGCATCTTGGCAGTGTCGACGACTGGGGCACCATACCGGCGACGGAGCTCTGCCTCTGCCCAGTCTGCGGCGGCAGCGTCGAGGGCGTAGCGCAGGCGGACTGTCGAGCTGTTGACTGGCCCCTGCCGGTCGACGATCCGCACGCCCGCCAGCTGTTCGAACCGCTCGCCCCCGAGCGCGGAGCAGACCGCCGGCATGGCGTTGTCGAGGCCCATCGCGCGATGAATGTCACCGGTCACAAGCTCGGCCTCGGGCTCCCCCCGGACACGCGCTGGGCAATGACCGTCTCCAACGCGAAGCGCCGGATTCGGTCGGCTTGCGACAGCTCTGCGGCCCCGTCCTCGGCGAAGCGGCGGTAGGCGGTAACCGCCGCACGGTAGCTGGCGAGACTGTCGTAGAGATTGCCGTCGATCGATAGCTCGCTGGGGTTGGGACGATTGGCGGCGCGGTCTGCGGCGCTATACTCCAGCTTCTTGAGTATCGCCTCGAACCTGTCCGTCTCGTAGGCCTCATCCAGGTCGCCGTAGTGGGACTCGACTCGCCGGGCGTCAGACACGCGGGTCGACACGCTCGACTTCGCCTGGCCCTGCGCCGTCAGCCATGCCCTGAACGCGTCAGCCCGCATCAGCGAAGCCGTGCCTCGAAACTCCGCTGGAACGCCGTCATCATGCCGATCGCCCAGTCATGCTGGGCGTCCCAGTCCGGATCCTCGTAACCGCTGTCGAACGTCGCGCGTACCGCAGTCTTCTTCCGTCGTCCTTCTTCTCCAGGTCAGGCCCTCCCGGACCCTCTTCCTCGACCGCGGCTCGGTCGGCGTGAAGTCGATCGAACTTCGCGCGATCTGCGTCGTCCTCATTGTTTAGGTTCACCTGCACTTGGTTCCTCGCGACGCTCAAGCTGACGT